GGGCAATCCTTACAAAATGAGGTTATCATTTAACCCCCACAACTCGACCACGTTTACACTTAAACATTCAATAGGCAATTAATCTTAATTTTTAACATGGTTAGAAGACATTTTGTAGGCGCGTACCTATCAGGGGAATATAGATGCCCCCTTTCTTTTTTGAAAACAAAACAAAACAAAAAAACTAAAATGAAACAACTCAAACAAGGAAAATAAGTTATTTGGATCTTGATACGGATTAAAGATTAGTCCCTGTCTCTCCTTTTTTTCTTCTTCCTTTTTCAGTTAAAGAGGACGACAAATGGCACTATCTTTGTTTCTCAGAGATCTACGATTATATTTAAGACAGCTTACAGATATTGTTCGTGGCTTCATAAAAGCTGGCGTGGTACCTAAGGTTAAAGAGGGCAATCCTTACCAAATGAGGGTATCTTATCATAAGTGAGCGTTTTATTTTGTTGGTCGGGGATTTGGGAGAGGGTTGGTTTCAACTAAGCCTCTGGCACTGATTTGGAATTATGGGTATTCATGGCTCCATTTTGTTTATGGGATGGGTTATGAATCCATTCACCTAGTTAGAAAAACAGGAGGGAAAAATTGACTTGCTTTAAAAAAAAAATTGTGTAAGTTGTGACGTGAGTGTGGACCTGTATCTCGCCTTCGGGTATTCCTGTCTATTTCAAGATGAAAATTAAATGAGATTAAAGAGGAAATGATTATTGCCGTCCTTGTAATGCATACAAATAACAAGTAACTTCAGAGGAAACTTCAAGCATCATCATAAATTAGGAGGAATAATTAGGCTACCGTGGACTATTTGAGCATGCAATGAAGAAGGGGTTTACACGAGGAGAATATACTTAAAACTGAAAATTATTTGTGAGCTGAGGATTATTGAGATTAATTTTATGGGGCACTCTGTTCATAAAGAAAGTTTCGGCAGACCTTGCACTCGCAAGGAAATTTTTCGACGGGAAGAGGGGTAGCCTAAAAGAATAATGACAATAAAATGATAATATTTCAGATCTCAAATCCACCACATCAGGTATATCCAGTATTTAATACGCGGAGTGGTGATTGATTTTTAAAAGCCTGTCTTATGTCTTTTTTTTTGGGGGGGGGGGGGAACGGTTGGGCAAAATTCAAAAATGGTTGGCAGAATTTACTGTTACAGTACTAATAAGGTGTTGCACAGTGACGCATTCAAAGAAAACCATAAATATTCGTGGTTTGATAATTTTTTCCAGAATTGTGTGTATATTCGAGGGCTAGTACAATGGAAGGAATATAATAAGTAACATTTCAAACAAAAATTCTGCAGTGTTTTCATTAACCTTTAACAATGTTAGCGAGTCACTTTAAATATTTGCTGTGAACAATAAACGACAACCCGCTATTGTATCTATTACATATTTCATAATTGATGTTAACACAGTTAGCTATTTACATTGTGTTATATGGCCTACAAAGTTATGTTGGCATAGTGGAAATAGAATATATTGACCCATACAAGTCACTTAAACAGTCAAAAGAGGAAGACAAAATTGTGATCGAAATATTGACAGCGTTGCAGATTCCATGTCCATTAGCATTTGAAACCTCTTTGGCCTGCCTGTCAAATGAGCACGCTATTCAAACACAACTCACCGCGAAGTAGCATACTTCATCAGTAGATATTAATACACTCTTGGCATTTTTTGGAAAGGAAGGCTATCTCGGAGATGTCCGCCATTTTTTCATCGATCTATAGTTTCTTGGCGTTTTCCTCTATTACAAAGACAAACAATAGATATCACTTTCCTTTCTACTTCCGAGCACCATTGTATCGTGATTGAATTAAGAATTGTGCGCTCTCCTTTTCTGACACGAATTCCGCCTGAAATTGCCGTTACTCATCAGGAATGATTAACGTTGAGTGCTATCTTGGCTTTAAAGAGAATATTCAGTTTTTGTAACGATGAAAAATAATATGTGAGCCTTCTCATTCTTGCGGCATAGAGACGATTTGGGAAGAAATTAAAGGAAATATCACCTGAATAAGGATGTTCTTCAAAAATGTAGTATTCATTATATGGCAAAAAGAGGCACAACGTTTGGGCCAAGATGTCATACCATACGAGTGTGTAGTCCCATGTAAACATTTCCGTGTGCGGTACATGTTATTTTCAGAAAGTTTGAGTCACGTTATTTTAATAAGGGAGTTTACAGATAGCACATGGTACAAATGACCCCAAATATCCACAGATCTTTTACACATGGAGAAGTTCCACTTTGAGCATCTTAAAATAATAACTTCCAAAGTCCTAGATGTGCTTCATGAATACCTTTTGCTTGCCCTCTTGAAAAGAATACTTCCACCTGCGTATCATAGAATGTACCGTTGGTGCATAAATGAATAATGTTACATAACTTTCATGAGCGCATATCCAGTATTCATCTCTGTGGGTTTTACCTTTTTGGTACAAATGACCTTTATCTGCCCATGCGCAGATTGTATCTATGAACCGGCTCATTGTAATCGTTCCATAACGTCAGTGTATATACTACAATTCTTATATGCTAGATCAACTTTCCCCTGTTGCTTCCACACGATATCTTGAACAATGTAATCGCAAGGTCAGTTCCTTAAGGCAGTTCTGTTTGTTTAGGCTTTTTTGGTAAATTCGATATGATGAGAAAAAATTGCTTTCTTTGAGCCCCGACGACTGTTTAGTAACTTGATACTGTGTAGACACTTCATATCTTTATTTGTATTTAGCTTTTTGTGTAATAAAATGGAAGTTTTTGAACGATGCTATAGTCCATTCTTAAGTGCCTGAAAATGAAGATGGATTTTTCGCGGGAGTATCATTACAGTATTGATGAGGACATGTCCTTTTTTGTTTTCTTGTTTTTATAGTGTGTTTATATTACGTCTCAGGAGGGGAAAAGGGACTATTCTTATCATCTCTTACTCTTCTTTTTTCCATTTTTGTTACACATATGTATATATATATATATATGCAATCATTATATCTATTTGAGATTATCAAGGAGTGTTAGGGAAAAAGTGTCATTCTTTAAAAGTACACAGTTATTCCATGTGTCAGGAGTCTATTTGGACGTAGATTTTATGTTTCTTTACGCTCATTGGAGATCTCAAAACGTAAAAGGTTACCTAGTATTAGGTTAATCGGAAAAAGAAGCAAAACACCAGGAAATGCAAAGAGAAGAGATAAGTCCACCGTTCCCAATGCGTTGTGATAGACGGTGTCTACTTGCAAAAGGTTTTTGAAATTGTTTCAAGGTTCACAGGATCTGGAGGAAACTACCGACGTAATTCATAATTGCTATAATTATTCCCTCAAAGCCTCCGGAATACTTAATAATTTGTTGTCACTATTTAGCGTCAACTTCATACGGAAACTCATGGATGCATAATGTCGATAATGATGCTATTAAACACATGGCCTCACAAAAAAGGTCACGATTTGAAATTTAGATTGTATGCATTTTTATGCAGCACCTTTATGGCATTTTTAAAGACAGATGTCTGAACTTCATGTTTTGTTTGTTTGTATGTATGTATGTATGTATATCTTATTGATTACGGTTGAGAAAATCGGCCCAGTAAATAGTCGAAGTAGCCTTGTTTTCAGGCCGAATGAAAAAAGTTTCTATCCTTGACTAGTCAAGTGGTGGTGATTATTTTACCTGACTGCTAAGAAAGCATAAATGCTTGTTAGTAAGCAACCGGAGGACCGACGACTTTAGGTCCTCTCCGAAGGACCTGGTGATGAGGATTAATGCCTCACCAAAGTGCACTAGCGTATCGACTTGGTGTCGAACCCGGGTTGCCGGATTACGAGACCACTGCTCTGCCAACTGAGCTATCGCGCCTCCTTCGCAATGAAAATAATATCTTTAATATTCGAACTGGAATTAGACTATAGCGTAGAGGGTGTGGCAATCATAATTAGATCATTCAGTGTAAGCCTAACCAGGCTTGAAGTTGAATCGACAAACAAACAAATGATGAATCATGGTAGCTGATGGTAAAGGGGGAAGTAGGGTGCTAAACAAGGTGGGAATCTTAAATGGGATTTTGCAAGGTAACGATGAAGTACGATGACTTGGTGGGACATGAATAGATAGAGAGATAGATATTTGGATGTAAAGATAGAGGAGAGAGAGAGAGAGAGAGAGACACACACACACACACACACACACACTTGATCGCCTATGACAGGAACAAACGGGGCATCTGCTAAGCAATAAAGCAAAAAACAAAAAGAGAAGATAGAGAGGGGATGAGAGAAAAAGAGAGAAAGAGATAGGGATTATGGAAGAAATAAGGTGAGGAAATGATAAAAAGAGAAGGATATTTGGTGCTTAATGAGTAAAGTTGCGTAAGATATTAATCTACAATTAATCTTATTGTTACAACTTTAAGAAAAAAATAGTGCATTTGAAGCACGTATTCTATTGGATAGATTGTGGTCACATGACTGCTATCATTAAATGATACCATTCTATTGCATTATGAAAGAGCCAGATGCTTACCTTTTTTCATTATCGTGTTGATTTTTTCCTCTGTATTTTGTTAATAATCTTATGAACAGATATTTTTTATGTATTTTCAGTATTGTCATTACTTTTATTGTCATTATTATCCATAAATGTGATTGTATGTTATTTCAACAGATGCTGAAAAGGTTACACGACGATTTGAGACAAAACTCAACAGTTGACCTTAGAGACTACATAATCATTATTATTAGTAGAAGTATCAGTTGTTGTTGTAATAGCAGTTGTTGTTGTTATAGGTCCAGGTCCAGTGGTACCAGTAGTATTAAATCTACTGCTACTACTGCTGCTACTAATACTACTACTACTACTACTACTACTACTACTACTACGATATCACTACTACTACTACGACGACTAAAACTACTACTTTTTCTCTCATTATTACAATGAATATTACTGTTATTATCACCACCATTATTGTTTTATTTTGACAGTTGCTGGGAAGGATACACGAAGATTTGAGGCAGAAATCAAACCAAGCAGCTGACCTTCGGGATGCCACCTCAAGAGGATTCGAAACAGTGGATTTAAAACAGCTTTCAGGTAAAGGATACCATTTAGAGACACGATGGCAAAGACTTTCGCCAAAAGGAACTCAACGGCCTTTAAAAAAAACATTTATAGTAGAACTGCCCGTAGAAATTACTTTAGAGAGGTATTAATAATAATGATAATAACACAGTTCTTGTAAATTGCATGATACTCATCAAGGACATATTTGTGTGTGAGCTGCATAGAACATTTTTGAAAAACCATGAGCTTGAATAACCCTTTCGAAAGGAGCTATGTACATAGTAAAACATTAAGGGTCCAACAATAGATCCTTGTTTCACTCCATGGGTAGGCATGTGAGCCGATGACTCAATCCCATCGATGACAAGTCCGTGTGCGAGACGTTAGATAGTACGAAACCGGTCAAGTGCCCATCGTTGAGTCCCAAACCAATGTGAGGCCTTGGTCGGATAGTATCATGGTTAATGGTGTCAATATGCCATTTTCATTTTAAAAGTTCATGCACGAGGCTATTGGGTTGACTTAGATTAATTCTTTTTTGATTCCTTTGAAAAGTGTTAAAATGAAAGACGACTCCCTTCTAAACCACTTTCGTTTTTACTTGCATCACACTTCTCCACTTGGCTTTGTATCTTTATGTGTTATTCTGTTTGTTTTATAGTGCTACAAATGTTTGTGTATATGTCCTTTAAACGATTTTTATAGTGATGGTTGTTTTTAAGTATATAGCTTAGCCTCTTGTCTTTCGTTCTTATCCGTCTTTATATTTCAATATCTGTTTTTTCGTATATTTGATTTTGCAATTCAATTCCATGTGTCCGGTATTTTGTATCATCATTCTGGATTATTTTAATGTCTTAAATTAGGATTATTATTTCTGAATACAAATTTTAATTCACTTATACGAAATGAATACTTCGTATAAGTACTGATTGGAAACCCTTATGGAAACAGCTATTGCTGTTACAGTATTCAAGCCCATGAGAGGAAAAATAAATGAATGAATTATACAAATCGGGGGCGGGGATCGGAAAAGTAATCTCAAATCCCATATGCTTTCTCGAAACGTTAGAAATATCGCGGGCAGTGATAACCATGCCTTAATGATAAGAGATAATGCAAAACAAGGCAGTGATTATCTTCTATTTCTTCCTGAAGAAAAAAATGTGAGCCAAAATTGCAAGCCGTTTTAATAGTTAATCCTGTTTCGTGATATCAAGAAGTCCCATTTGATAACTCAAAGAGGTAACTTATTGATCTTAAGAATTCTTACTAGTTTCTATCACGAAATAGGATTAATTGCTAAAAAGGGCTTACCATATTAAGCCCATTTTCTTAAAAAGCCTTTAGGATTCCCTATTGAAACGTTACAATAACATTATTACATAATCCAAATATAATTTCTAGAGGGAGTACAAAAGATTTACCCTTGAGTTGATTTTTCGAAAGTCGTTGAGATCTCCTTAATGTCCCTGCAACGCGATCGCGAAGTTTTACAATGTGAGCCTCCTCCCCAACATAGTTTCTTTTGGAAATCCAAAAGGGTATTCGATCTGCTCTTGAGCCTATTTCTTAAATGTCATTGTGATTTTTTTTTTCTTTTCTACTGTCCTTTTGTTATTTGCCAGAGATCACAAAAACCGTCTTCTATCTGATTTTAACCCACGTCTAGTTATTTCGTTATCAGGGAATTATCAATCATTTAAAAATTATTTTGATCAATTATGATGACCACTGAAATAAATTCATACAAATGCTGTCTGTAAAACTATCTTCGCATGAGCATATAGAGGTCATTCGTACAATAATGCTAATCCCGTCGTGGGAAATATTGGAAACACATTCTTGAAAGTTATGTAATCTTTATTCATCTGTTGCACCGATGGTACAATCGATGATAAACAGGTGGGAGTATTAAAGACAAAAGAAAATATTCATGAGCGCCTTATCGTGGCGGGGTAATAGTATCATTACATATATACCACTAGCGAGTATATCTGTATGTAGCTGCCCAATATTGCTATTCCAAAAAGTTTTAATTGTAACAAGGTTATACCCGAAATCACTGTGATATTTATGATATTGACAGTGTCTAGACGGTAATAATACCTCCCCCTGGGAAAAAAGGATGAATATGGTATTAATATCAAAACATTAATATTTACGCTTTCCGTTGTTGTTTTTGTTTCCACAGATAATGGTGCCGGCTTACAAGTACATGGAGTGCGGCAAACAAGAGGGAAATGCATGGGCAGGTTCGGGCCTTACATGCTAAACTGCAAACGAAGTGGACCAACAACAATTTAACAACAGCCAATTGGTCATCTTCATTTTAACATCTCCTGAAAAAGAACGCTAAAACAAAAAAAAATCAAAGAAAAACAAATATTTTTCTCCCCTTTCACGTAGTTAAATAGTCAGCATCACAGCTTTGTGTTTATGATTACTTTCATTACCCGTTTGATTATCAACTTTAAACAACACGATATTTTCATTTTGTGTGTACCTTTAGGATTCTAAGAACTCTGTGTTAAATACGGCAGCTGTTGTAGTTTGCAGTGGCGGATTCCGGTTAGGATAAGGGGTGGGGCAGGGAGGTGATCTTCATATTCCCCGAGTTTTTGTAATACCTGTTATTCCCGATATGTGATCATAAAATGGCGACCCGCCCCCACTTTTAAAAATGAGTTTGTGACTGTGGCAACACGCCCACGCCACCTCTGCATTTTATTCTTTTTATTTTGTGTCACACTTTTAGGGGACTGAGCATCGCAAAGCTTTAATCTTTAATAGGCCTATTATGCCAATGTCCTCATTCCCAGCCTAAGTCTAGCCCCCCCCCCCTCCCCTCACCACACCTGGATCCGCCACTGTTGTGCATGTATGTTTCTTCCATTGGACAAACGAAACAAGGCTTTAAATAGAGAATTTAGCACTACAATTATAGATGCAAGACTTCATTTGTTTATTTTCTTTGAATGTTGCCAAATCAAGGAAGTTTATTTTATCTCCAAATATTTTGTACGTGTAAATAATATACGATTTGCTTGAGTTATATAACAATAGATGTAGATCGCACATCAAACATGCAAAAAACAACGAAAACTGTTTTATACACCTAAGAATCGGGGAAGAATTATTTAATAGTGAGGGCACTTTGCAAAATTACACGTATCATATCGATTTCTTTTCGAAGCATTATAGTTAAAACATGCGGCACTTTGCATGAATGAAAATAAATATTTTGTTATTACATAGAACTGCGTGAATATTTTTTCAGTTTGACTACATTATATATATTGTGTAGTGTATAAATCGTATCATTTTATCTTGTTAATTTTAATGTAAAATCATGAAAATATACGTATTATCGTGCAGTCCACTCTTAGTACTATTTTGGTTAAATTTCAGATATGTAAAAGCTGTTAGTATTGTTCATGAAAGTCAAAGGTTTTGCATTGTTACAGGGCTAAACTTGGGTTAAATGATATCCCTGTTAAGAAACACAACGTGAAATGAAATTCAATCTAAATTTGATGATCCTATTTAATGTTAATTTATACTTTACACGTAGCACTTAAATCGGGAGCTGTTTCAGTAATAAAATTGTTTACGAAGCATTTGTAACATTTCAAAAGCAACCTCACTTGTCCTTGTTTGTCATAACGTGATAATGTTGTTTACCAAAAACTCAATGTTTACAAAATAAATAAAAGCAGTGTCTAACATTAAAGAGTAAGCGGTTATAAGGTCGTATACATCTTGCAACTAAGATCAGAAAAGACTCGTATGTGTATTAAATGTCTATAATTTATTAATAAATATATCATTTGCAAACATGAAAACAGTCTCTGCCAAGCGAAAACAAAAATAAAGTGCATGGTATTTTCAGTTGAGAATGCCACATTAGGTTGGCATTGAACACCAATAGTGAAGTGGCTATAAGGTGCAAGGAATATCCATGGAATATTTTCATTTATGCATAGAACTTGACAGAACACCAGTAAAACTCAGATCCCCTGTAAATCCAGCTTGATCCAACGAAATATCACAACTGCATAACGTGTTTTCAACATCTATTCTTAGTTGCTTGAGATAAACATCTTCATTATCATACCGTATCAATTCTACTGTTTATTGGGTAAAGTGTATGGGTTTCCATGTACGCGTAAAGGCTTATTTTCTCGTTTGGGTCTCGAATTCTAGGCTTAACATGGAAAATGGCGGTGATATTACAGATCAATCAATTAGTGATCAATCAGACAATTGACCAAGATGGATGGAGTTTGACGCAAGACGCTCTGCCGTTAGATTTATTATTAAATAAAACGCATTGCACTGAAGCGAATTTAAAGGGTAAACAAAAGGAGAACATAAATTAAATTACATTTTTAAGGACCCCACGGCTTATATCGAACTCTTTGCCTAATAACGACGGAACAGTGAGCATCATCTTATGAAGATACCTTTATACAAATACAAACCTAACTGCAAAGTGAACAGTTCATACATTGCGTTGAAGTGTTGGTGTATGGACTAATTATCTCCGAAAGGCTTAATTAGCACAGGGAATAGCGCAACGAAATTAAAACGGGCTCTAATGTCTCCGCCAAAAAAAAAAAACTTCTAAAATCAAATCATTCAGTAGATCACAACTTTAAAATCCTATGCTGAGGGTTCGGGTGACGCAAGATTTAATTAGCGCAAGTAATAGCGCAATTAAAATGATTGCGCTATTACTGAAGAAGCTAAACAAAAAGTATCAGGCTGATTGCGCCTTTACAATTCCATATAATCTTTCAGCGTGTTAAGCGAACGCTACAATAGCAATGCCATGCCACAAGCCATTCTATAAAACGGTTTCCTTTTCAATTTCTTTTATTTATGTCCGTGACATCGTCATTGAAAAAGATTTTCTCCTTTCTTTCTTATCTATTCTTTTGAGATAAAGTAAAAATGCAAGAGCTAAATGATTCAAGGTCATTTTGAATACGAATTCATCCTCAGAAATTGATATAGCCTACCAATACAAGCGTGCCTGGAAATAGCGCAATGTTTGTTGAAAGAAGGGGAAACGGGAACTAAGTATAGCTCCCTGAATGAAATTTGTAAAACGATTTAATTATGTTAATTTAAAATCCTATTTCAGTGTGCGTACTTTTAAATGTAAATGTATCATTTTCCTATATGTTTCGTTTGTACTTTATTGAATAAAAACCTATTTGAAGCTTCAAAAGAATATCATGTTAATGCAAACATCTTATAAATATTTACCATTATTTTCTTTGTGCAATTTTAAGTGAATATCATAATCAGTTACCATATTCTTCATAATTTGATTTGATTTGATTTGATTGATTTATTTCTGTTTGATTTTCTTTTTCTTTTGCATTTTTACAAATATATAACAAACAAATATTGCAAATTTACACATGACAAAAGAATATATGTAGAATAAATTAAGGCTGGCTGTAACTAATCGAAAACATCAAACATGATTTAGTATATTTTGTCTTCACATTGTCCAATAGGCGGGATAGGTGTAGAAAGCAAAAAATTGTAGGGTCCAGATTTCTAACATAATCGTTGTACTGAATGGTTAATAGTGAGCGATGGATTTAAATGTAATTGCAGTGAGAACGCGAGACGATTTACTTACATATTATATGTTGTTGTTGTATGTCTGGGAACAGGTGCGTTCTCATTGAACCTAGTTGGAGCTAAATTGGACACATTGATGAATATCAAATGGTTTCGTACTTAACGAGTAGCTCCTCGATAAGAAACTAAATCTGATGGTTGTATAATTAAAAATAAATGTGTAGGCCCTATAATCCTACCTCCTCCCTACACTCGCCGCCGTAATGCCATGCTATGTTCACGTTTCCCAATATAAAATGATTAGCTGCAAGAGGCAGTGTTGTCATTACACACGATTAGACCCATTTGAAACACGATGATAATCATGTTATGACTTCGGGCAAAGGAGTGTCATCTCAGTAAAAGAAAATAACAAATAAATCAGATGGTAGCTGAATACTACAAGGAGAAAACAAATATCACTAGACTTTTACTTTAAGATTTCCCTTGCGCAATGCTAATAAGACGATTTATTTGTTTTGGTTTACCAATAGAACATATTGACCCTAAGACGTGTGGTGATGTAGCTGACAAATAGAAGGGAGGGGAAATGTTATTGATTTGTAGCTCGAGATATCAGATTTGACCTGGAAATTTCCCCAACTCTTGACATTTAGTGTGCTTTATAACAGATACTTATTGCTCATGATAAATTCTATAGCGTTTTGGCACCGGAAGATGCATCTAAATTAGAAAAAATATAGGTGTCTATTTCCGTGAGATATGACAGAGAGAGAGTTGCAAAAGAGAGAATTATTAATTATTAATGGTTTTCAATGCTGGTTGAATGTACATCTACAGTCTGTTCACGTTTTTTTCTTCTTTCTTCTAGATATTTGATTCATTGTTAATGGGGTGGTCTTCAATTTCTGCATTTTGATTGAAAAAAAACGTTTATGTATCATTTTTATTTCGTGAGAAATGAATCAAATGTTGAGCTATAACTTCTGTACAGTTTGTCGCTGTTTATCAAAAAAGAATCTGAATAAATAAGTGTCTCTAGTATTTGAGTAAATATGACTGTCATTCAGTTTTCTTTTTGTGTTTCGATGGATTTTCTGTCATGTTGAGTTATTAACGTCATTTACACAATAATAATATTAATAATAATAATAATAATAATAATAATAATAATAGCTCACATTTATAATGCGCCTAATACTTTGTTTCTAGGCGCGGAACATATTATTACCCCGGTCATCGGATTCAGGCTTACCGGCAACACAATGTTTGCACATTTTCCACTCCCTGGGGAGCATTCCAGCCAGTCGCCATTTTACAAGCGCCATTGCTAATCAAACCACATTATCTTTCTCATCCTACCGGGTACCCATTTTAACACCTGGGTGGAGAGTGGCAAATGTAGATCAATGTCTTGCCAAAGGACATTAGTGCCGCGGTGGGACTTTAACCGCGGACCTTGTGATCCACAGTCCGGTGACATATCCACTCGACCACGACACCTCTACAACTATCGTGATTTTGTTGACGTGGCAATGTTACATTTTAAATCGCTAGGCAGCTACGTCATTAAAAATAGCATATTGCTTTATAATTCGGATGAATAATACATAACGATAGAAAGTTCCATCGCTAACAACCCCCACCCCCCTTCCCGAATGACTAGAGTATAAGGTGCTGATAATAAAGAAGATGACGATGATGACGACGACGACGACGACGAGATGGTGGTTGTGATTATGATGAAGATGATGATGATGATGGTGAAGATGATGGTGAGGATGATGATGATGTTTGTTTGTTGTTGGTTTTGACGATGATGCTGATAGTGGTGATGATAATGATGGTGATGATGATGATGATGACGGTTGTGGTGATGATGAATATCAGGGAACGGTTCGGTACAAAATTGTTTAAACTTAAGAGGCATCTTGGGTTACAGAACATACTTCTCTCTGTGCGACACACGTACACTCACTCCCTCTCTCTCTATCTCTGTTTTTGTATATCTGTCTCTCACTCTCTCTTCCTCCCCCTCTCTCTCTCTCTTTTTCTCTGTCTCTCTGGCTCTTTCTCTCTGTCTGGCTCTCTCTCTCTGTATCTCTCTCTCTCTCTCTCCCCCTCTCTGTATCTCTGTCTGTCTGTCTCTCTGTCTCTCTGTCTCTCTGTCTCTCTCTCACCCTTTCTTTCTATCTTAGCTTATCACTTTCTTCTATCTTGATCTCCTTTATTTCTTCTTTCTTTTTCTCCTTTATCCTAGTATATTTCATTATTTTCCTGTCAACATTAAAGTAAGGAAATGCAGCTCCAATGCCACGTTTCCGCCTTCCTTTTAATCGTAGAAAACTTCTCCATTCCCGTTTGGGTAAACATTTTCCGCGATGTCTGCAATCTACCCTGGGACATTTTAAGGCGCAACTGGTTTTGTGCTTTATAATCTTTATTTTTACTCCATTTTCATATTTTGGTATATAAATGACTCTAAAAAATGTAATGAAGAATTGATTATTATCAAATACATCAAAGCCCAAAATGACACAGTTTCTCTTTAATCTGTCTTTTGACATTCTAAGTCATAATAATATTGGCCTGTATTTATCACAATCTTTATTTTTACTCCATTTTCATATTTTGGTATATAAATGACTCTAAAAAATGTAATGAAGAATTGATTATTATCAAATACATCAAAGCCCAAAATGACACAGTTTCTCTTTAATCTGTCTTTTGACATTCTAAGTCATAATAATATTGGCCTGTATTTATCACAATCTTCATTTGTTCTCCTATTTAATATTCAAGTGCATAAATGCTCAATTTTAAATGTTCCGTGGAAATGCTATCCCCCGGCATCGTGAGGTATAAATTATAGGCTTACAAATCATGGATTTATCATCCATTTGTACTATTTTTGTCATATTTGGATATATAAACGACTCTGACAATTTGCAATAAATTAATGCCCAAAATAGGGTAGAGTTTCTCATATATTTGTCTTCTGATATTTTGAAACCAAATGGCCCGAATTCACAAAGCAAGGTTTGAGCTCAGACCAAGGTTTGAGCTCAAACCTCCTTTTGTTTCGCCAAATCTCCTTTTGTTCTTTACAAACCAGGTTTGTAAAAAACGCGTAAAACGCGTCATATGACAAACGAAAACCAAGGTTTGTCGACAAACCTCCTTTGTGAATTCGGCCAAAAGGTCTGTATGTTTAGTTATATTTTATCCTCCTTTACCGTCCTTTATTTTAGCAGTACATAAACGTCTAAGTAAGATGATAAATTTTGTGCAAGTGCGTTCCCCTGTCATTGTAAAGATTAAATTATAGGGCCCTCAAAAAGGTTGTTCTTCATTTTCTAATATTTTTTATATTTAGGTATATAAACGACCAATTTTATTTAAGGTGCTATTACCTGACATTATAAAGTGTACATTAATAGATCTAAAATACTTGTTTTGAGTTATTTATTTTTCTTCAAACATTTCTCATAGACCTATAAATGCGCAAGTTGTCATGGTTGTTAATTCTTTTCTGGGTTGCTGTCTCTTGACATTATAAAATATCTGTCCAGGTCACCATATCATAAAAATATCTATCATCTCCACTTAGGAATTAGCTAACGCAATAAATCAATTGTCTGTAACCATGGCAACCCCTTCTCTCTCCGAGCTGAATAATCACCGTGAGGTATTAACCCTAATAATGCCGCGAAAAAATGATTGAATGGAAACAAAAGTTAAAAAGGAAGAGGAAAAGCACGCCACGCTATGGAAAATTAAAAAAGGTGTTGTAGACGTTCCGGGCTTTTGGTTGTTGGGGTTTGGTCATTTCAAAGTGACCTTTCGCAGTGTGTACTTCTGTTAAGAAGAAATCTAGAAATAATTCGCCCATTTCTTCCCAAATAGAATAAAAGACTTCGCTAATTGATTTACAGCCTAGCAGCATTGAATCCGCCACGCAGCAACCGTGCCGCGCTCCTCTACTCTCTCTAAAAAAAAAAAATCAGTTATCAAAATAGGGTCATTTCATTAAAGCATTTTCCCTCTATTCTTCACATCATATATCGCTCTCCTCTCTCACTCTCTCTTTTTTTTTTCTCTCTCTCTCTCTCTTTCTCTCTCACTAGCTCTATCTCTCTCTCTTTCTGTCTCTCTGTTTATATCCCCCTCCTCTCTCTCTCTCTCTCTCTCTTTGATTTTTTCTCTATCTATCTATCTATCTCACTCTCTCTCTCTTTCTGTTTCCCTATTTCACCATTTCTCTCTCTCACACACACATACACACCCACGCACGCACGCACAAACAAACGCACAAGCTCTGTAAACGTGTATTTAAAAATGTAAATATCTTCCTCTTCATTTTCAACCTCCTTTCTCCATCCCTTTTCTCTCGCACTCTCTCCGTCTATCAATCTCGCTCTCTCTCTCCATGTCTCTTCTATTACATATTGCTCTTTTCCTTCTTTCACTCCTCTTTCCAACCCTATCACTTCTTACTTTTAATTTCTTTCTCTATTACTTCCTCCTGAGCCCTTCTTGCCCCTTCTTCTTCTCTCTCTCTCTCTCTCTCTCTGTCTCTATCTCTCTTTCTCTCCCTCTCTCTCTTCTCTCTCTCTCTCTCTCTCAATCCTACAATCCACCTCTCTTTTCCTTTTCATCTACTCTTTTCGGCGCTGGGGCTAAGTAAATTTCGATGTTGATGAAAACACTCTTGGTTGGTAACGACCCGATAACGAAATTAGTTCATGTAGTGAAGGGGGTAATTTGGCGGAAAGACATACTCAACGCTTGTTGCCGGCATAGGAGGGTAGGTGCCTCACTACTCAACTCAGCCGCGAAATATGATTTGAAGTTAGTGGCACGTTTTTTTAGGGACCAGCGCTGACCGAAGGAAGTATGGTGGCTGCTATGCAGCTAATCACAAATCGAATATGTCGATACGAGGTTTTACGAGTGAACGACTACACTTGCCCTTAGGCAGTCAATATTGTCTGCACAGGAAATTCTGTGTACGAGTATCCATTGAGCATGGCTCTTTCTTTCTCTCTCTCTCCCTCTCTCTTTCACTTTCACTCTCTCTCTCTCTCTCTCTCTCTCTCTCTCTCTCTTTCTCTCTCTCTCTCTTTCCCTTTATCTCTTTCTCTTTCTCTTTCTCCTTCTCTTTCTCTTTCTCTTTTTCTCTTTCTCTTTCTCCTTCTCTTTCTCTCTCTCTCTCTCTCTCTCTCTCTCTTTCTCTCTCTTTATTTCGCTCTCTCTCCTTCGCTCTCTCTCTTTCACTCTCTCTCTTCCTCCCCCATCCTTCTCTCTCCTTATATTCTACTAACCAATCTCATTTTCTCTGTTTCCTGCTTAATATGTCCACGTCTTATGGAGAGGGAAAAACTTCTCCTTTTTCATGTTCCATATAAGTTATTTCTTTACTATTCCCATTACCATTGCCATTTCATTTCTATTTTTGTGCACAAACCATTTTGTTTGTTTGCTGTTTTTTTTTTGTAATTGCTTATGCTTTCTTGGGGATCGTTTTCTTAACCTATTTTAGATATTGCTTTAAACAGTGATCTTATATTTTCAATAGGATATTTTGTTAATTACTGGAAAACAGAACGTCATTTTCAAACGAAACAAGTCGGAGAAGCAGATTCGTGAAAGTTTGAACGAAATTTGACAAAATATTGAAAGTTGTAATCATTATACCTATAGGCACTTCGATTTGCCAAATCTGCCGTGTTAATGTGACGATTGCGCGGGGACAACTTTCCCATATGTTCCAACACACAAAATGCTACGTCCCTTTTGCAACCAACTTCAAATTCTGTACAACTTTGCAGGATTTATGAATATGTCATTAGCAGTGTCCTAGTATTCAAATTATGCAAGGAAACCCGTTTACCTTCAAGACTTCACTGTCAGACACTATTGAGTGACTGACTGACATCTCCTTTTCTTTTGTAATAACATATATCAAATGAGCTGTAACAGGTACATGAGCCATATGTCCATATTAATAACCCACTACTTGTAATGGCCAAAATTAAACTGATTGAATTCTTG